AAAAATAAAGAAAATAAAAAATGAGAATTGCAAATCAAAAATTTGAAGAAATGAAAAATTAAATAGAAAAATTGAAGAAAGAAAATAAATGAAAAAGTTGAGAAATCGCAAATCCAAAAATTTGAAGAAACGAAAAACTGGAAAAATTTAGATTAAAAATTATTTTAATTTTTTGAATTTTCAGTATTTCGATTTTACAAAATTCGTTTTTGCTCTTTTTCGATTTTTAGGTTTCTCGAGTTTTGATTTTTCGATCTTGATTTTATACTTTTTCTTTTTTTTATGTTTAGTTATGCAATTTTTTTCATTTTTTATTCGAAAAGTTACAAAATCGGAAAAACTTGAAAAAACGAAAAATGCCAAATTCAAAAAAGTGGAAGATTTGCAAATCGAAGCACCGATTAAACGAAAAATTGAAACATAGAAAGAATAAAAATCTAGAAACTTGAAAATGGATCGAAAAATTGGAAAATCCCAAAATTTTAAAATTGAAAAATTATGGAATCGTCAAAATTGGAAAGTCCAAAAAGTTTAACATTGGAAGATTGAAAAATTTTTAAATTAAATATCGAGAAATTAAAAAATGAAAAATCCAAAAATTAACAGTCCAAAAAATGCAAAATCGAATAATTGAAAAATGGGAAAATTCTACAGCTGCAAAATTGCAAAAGTGAACAATTTTAAAAATTAATTATTAATTACAAATTTAAAATGAAAACTGGAAAAATTGCAAATCAAAAATTGAAAAAAGAAAAATTATAAAATCAACACTGCAAAACCGAAAATTTGAAAAAGTAAAGAAAATAAAAACCGAAACGAAAAATGAAAAATCGAAAAACTGAAAAATTTAGGTTTGAAAATTAGTGAAATTGCAAAATCTAGAAGAATGACCCTAAAAGTAGAGTTGTAAAATTGAAAAAAATTTGAAGAAACGAAAATCTGAAAAAATGTAGATTAAAAATTATTTTAATTTTTTTAAATTTCAGTATTTCGATTTTACAAAATTCATTTTTGATTCGAAAAGGGAAAAAATTGAAAAATCAAAAACGGAAAACACCAAAATGTGGAAGATAGAAAATTCGCAAATCGAAGCACTGATGAAACGAAAAATTGAAACAGAATAAAAATCTAGAAACTTGAAAATCGATCGAAAAATTGGAAAATCCCAAAATTTTAAAATTGAAAAATTATGGAATCGTCAAAATTGAAAAGTCCAAAAATTTTGACATTGGAAGATTGAAAAATTTTAAAATTAAATAGCGAGAAATTAAAAAATGAAAAATCCAAAAGTTAACAGTCCAAAAAATGCAAAATCGAATAAATTCTACAGCTGTAAAATTGAAAAAGTGAACAATTTTAAAAATTAATTATTATTAATTACAAATTTAAAATGAAAACTGGAAAAATTGCAAATCAAAAATTGAAAAATGAAAAATTATAAAATCAACACTGCAAAACCGAAAATTTGAAAAATTAAAGAAAATAAAAACCGAAACGAAAAATGAAAAATCGAAAAACTGAAAAATTTAAGTTTGGAAATTAGTGAAATTGCAAAATCTGGAAGAATGACCCTAAAAGTAGAGTTGTAAAATTGAAGGAACAAACTAAATGAAAAATTGGAGAAACAAAAAATTGTAAAAATAAAGAAAATAAAAAATGAGAATTGCAAATCATAAATTTGAAGAAATCAAAAATTAAATAGAAAAATTGAAGAAAGAAAATAAATGAAAAAGTTGAAAAAAATCCAAAAATTTGAAGAATCGAAAAACTGGAAAAATTTAGATTAAAAATCAGTTTAATTTTTTTAATTTTCAGTATTTCGATTTTACAAAATTATTCAGTATTTCGATTTTTAAGTTTCTCGAGTTTTGATTTTGATCTTGATTTTATACTGTTTCTTTTTTTTTATCTTTCAATTTTACAGTTAGCAATTTTTTCATTTTTGATTCGAAAAGTTAAAAAATCGGAAAAAATTGAAAAATCAAAAACGAAAAAAACGAAGAATGCCAAATTCAAAAAAGTGAAAGATAGAAAATTTGCAAATCGAAGCACCGATGAAACGAAAAATTGAAACATAGGAAGAATAAAAATCTAGAAACTTGAAAATCGATCGAAAAATTGGAAAATCCCAAAATTTTAAAATTGAAAAATTATGGAATCGTCAAAATTGAAAAGTCCAAAAATTTAACATTGGAAGATTGAAAAATTTTTAAATTAAATATCAAGAAGTTAAAAAATGAAAAATCCAAAAATTAACAGTCCAAAAAATGCAAAATGGAATAATTGAAAAATGGGAAAATTCTACAGCTGCAAAATTGCAAAAGTGAACAATTTTAACAATTAATTATTATTAATTACATATTTAGAATGAAAACTGGAAAAATTGCAAATCAAAAATTGAAAAAAGAAAAATTATAAAACCAACACTGCAAAACCGAAAATTTGAAAAAGTAAAGAAAATAAAAACCGAAACGAAAAATGAAAAATCGAAAAACTGAAAAATTTAGGTTTGAAAATTAGTGAAATTGCAAAATCTAGAAGAATGACCCTAAAAGTAGAGTTGTAACATTGAAGGAACAAACTAAATGAAAAATTGAAGAAACAAAAAATTGCTAAAATAAAGAAAATATAAAATGAGAATTGCAAATCAAAAATTTGAAGTTTCTCGAGTTTTGATTTTTCGATCTTGATTTTGTACTATTCCTTTATTTTTATCTTTCAATTTTAGAGTTATGCAATTTTTTCATTTTTGGTTCGAAAAGTTGAAAAAAGGAAAAACTAAAGAATCGGAAAAAATTGAAAAAACAAAAACGGAAAAAACGAAAAATGCCAAATTCGAAAAAGTGGAAGATGGAAAATTTGCAAATCTCACTGAAGAAACAAAAAATTGGAAAATCCCAAAATTTTAAAATTGAAAAATTATGGAATCGTCAAAATTGAAAAGTCCAAAAAATTTTAACATTGGAAGATTGAAACATTTTAAAATTAAATATCGAGAAATTAAAAAATGAAAAATCCAAAAATTAACAGTCCAAAGAATGAAAGTCGAATAATTGAAAAATGGGTAAATCTACAGCCATAAAATTGAAAAAGTGAAAAATTTTAAAAATTAGTTATATAATTAATTACATTATTTAAAATGAAAACTGGAAAAATTGCGAATCAAAAATTGAAGAAACGAAAAATTGAAAAATCGTGAAAATGAAAAATCCAAAAATTGAAAAATTTCACATTGAAAAAAAGAAAAATTATAGATTATTAAATCAGAACACTGAAAAGCCGAAAATTTGAAAAAATAAAATAAAAAACTGAAACGAAAAATTGCAGATTGAAAAATTGAAAAATCGAAAATTGAAACTTCCCAAAGTTGGAAAATCGAAAATATGAAAATTCGAAGAATGACCGCAAAATTGTTGGAACAAACAAAACGAAAAATCGGAAAAATTGAAATCGAAAAAACAAAAAATTATAAAATCTGAATATTGAAAAATCGAAAAATTCAAATATTAAAGAATCGAAAAATGTAAAGAGTTAAAAATGAAAACGCGAAAAATTTTAAATCGAAAATTTGAAGAAATGAAAAATTGAAAAAATTAAGTTTGAAGAAAAAATATTTCTTTCATTTTCAGTATTTCGATTTTACAATATTCGTTTTTGGACTTTTTCGGTTTTTGAAATTTATCAGTTTTTGATTTTATACTTTTTCTTTTTTTTTCTTTCAATTTTACAATTCTGCAATTTTTTTATTTTTTTATTCTAAAAGTTGAAAAATCGAAAACCTGAAAAATTGGAAAAATTGAAATATGTATCGAAGAACTGAAAAAACGAAAAAAAGGAAAATCGAAAAATTGCAAATCGAAGCACTGAAGAAACGAAAAACTGTAACTTTGAAAAACTAAAAATCAACAAACGTAAAAATCGGAAAAAATAATTAATCGAAAAATTGGAAAGAAGAAATGACGGATCGAATCGAGAAATTGTAAAATCGAAAAATTACGAATTTGTCAAAATTCAAAAGTCGAGAAACTGGAACACTGCAAGGGAAAGATCGAAAAATTGAAAAATTAAAAGTCGAAGAATTAAAAATCGAATAATTGAAACAGTTTAAAAATCCAATAGTTGAAAAATTGAAAAATTCTAAAACTGTAAATATGAAAAAGTGAAAATTATTATTACATATTTAAAATGAAAACTAGAAAAATTACAAATTAAAAATTGAAAAAACGAAAAATTAAAAAATTGAAAAATTGAAAACCCAAAAACTTACATGTGAAAAAATTGAAAAATCGAAAAACTGAAGAAATATTGAAAAAAAGAAAAAATATGAAATTGTAACGTAGGAAAACCGAAAAATTCAGATGAAAAATTCAAAAATCAAATAGTTGAAAAACTAAAAAAAAAGAAACATCCAAAAGTCATAAAAAATTATATTTCTCGATTTATCGAGATTTTGATGTTTCGATTTTTTGCTTGTTCAATTTCTTCGTTTTTTGATTTTTCAGTTTTAAACTATTTTTCGATTTTCCATTTTATGATGTATCGATTTTAAAATTTTTCATTTCAGTTTTGGAATTTTTCTATATCTCGATTTTTCAATTTTCCCATTTTTCGTTTTCTTATTTTTAAGATTTTTCAATTTTTCAGTTTTTTCATTTTTAAGTATCGATTCGATTTAAGTTTTTTAATTATAGATTTTTGGATTTTTCAATTTTTCATTGTCAAAATTGTAAAGTCGTAAAACTGGCACACTGAAAGATCCAAAAATTGAAAAATAAAAAAATTCTAAAATTAGAACATTGAAAAAAATCGAAAAATTGTAAAAATAAAGAAAATACAAAAACCGAAACGATAAATTTAAAATTTGACGAAACAAAAAAAAAAGAAAACTTGAAAATTCGTAAATTGAAAAATTGAAGAAACAAAAAATTGAAAAAACAAAACATTATAAAATCGAAACATTGAAAGAAGAAAGAAATAACCATTGACCATTTTTCCCGTAGTACACTCAGTTGAAGAAGCACGTTGACCGCGATACTCTCTCACAAATGAGCCAAGAATCGAGCGACTCCCGAGAGCCCCCGATGTGGATAGCCGCCGGCGAGATTCGCCGCCGTTTGAGCGACTCCATCCACGAGGAGAAGAACAAGCAGTTCACGCACGACCCCCAGGACCCGTCGGCGGCGGTCCTGAAGGAACCGTGGCACGACAAGGAGCGACGGATACGGGAAAGCTCCCCTTACGGGCACCTGTCCACGTGGAACCTGCTCAGTGTCATAGTCAAGTGTGGCGATGACCTCCGCCAGGAACTCATGGCTTCGCAACTCCTCCAGATGTTCCAGAAAATCTGGGAGAAGGAGCACGTGCCCTTATGGGTGAGTAATGTCTATTATTATGTATCGTTATATGATTGTTAACGATCGTGACTTCCAGGTGCACCCATATCGCATCCTGTGTCTCTCTAACGACAGCGGCCTCATCGAGCCCATCCTCAACACCGTGTCGCTGCACCAGGTGAAGAAGCACCGCCAGCTGTCGCTCTTGCAGTACTTCATCCAAGAGCACGGCCCGCCGACGTCGGAGGCCTTCCTCACGGCGCAGAAGAACTTCGTCCAGAGCTGCGCCGCCTACTGCCTGTTCTGTTACCTGATCCAGGTCAAGGACAGGCATAACGGGAATATTTTACTAAAGAGTGACGGTCACCTCATCCACATCGACTTCGGGTTCATTCTGTCGATGTCGCCGAAAAACCTGGGCTTTGAAACGTCGCCGTTCAAGCTGACGGCGGAGTTCGTGGAGGTGATGGGCGGCGACCAGTCCGACATGTTCGAGTACTTCAAGATCTTGATCCTGCAGGGGCTGGTGGCGGCGCGGAAGCACATGGATATGATTATTCCGTTGGTGGAGATTATGCGATCAGGTGGGTTGTTGTAGGTGTGTTGGATGACGGAGTGACCGTTTTGTGTAGGTTCGCAGCTGCCGTGCTTCAAGTCGGGGGCGGCGACGGTGCAGAACTTGAAGAACCGCTTTCACATGAGCATGACCGAGGAGCAGCTGCAGCTGGAGGTTAACCGGATGGTGGAAGTCAGCATTCATTCGTTGTCGACGAAACTTTACGACGGTTTTCAGTATTTTACAAATGGTATACTTTAACCACTTTATTTATAAATAGACTGAACTAGAATCAAGCTTGTTGACTTTTTATACTCGCGGAAGTACTTTAGTTGGGGAGTTGTCGATACTAAATGCTCAAATGTTAATACAAACAACACCAGTTTAAACGCTAGTGTAATTAGTGGAAAATTAGTACTAAGTGATCTGAAACGATTGTTGCCATGTCGTGACTGCTCGTATACTTGAAGTGTTTTAGTGTAAGTCGGGGGTGTGAATACTCAATCGAGGCCAAAAATAACGAATTAAAAATATTTATTTGTGTATGTGGCGCAGTTATCCAAGAATTAAAGTACGTTGTACATACATTCCAAGTACTTCTAATGCATATGATCTGTACAGTTGTTAACGATAATTTTTTAAATAAATAAATCTAGTGTTTGTAAATATTCATGTACGTAACAAATTTTAGTGTTGGAGTCTAGATAATTCACGTTATCCATCCATTTTTAAAACTATATATTGTAAAAATACATGACTGAAATTATAAAAATGCAAAAAGACTGATGTCGGCAGTAGGCTTTTTGCAATGTTAGATTTTTCGGTTCTCTTGCTTTCGTTACGTCAACTGTTTTAATCAAAATTTCTTCAAGAGTACCAGATTTATAAATAGGCTGAATTTATGGAACCTGTGCATGTTTTATTATGAAATTTTTGAATATTGTATTTTATTATATTATCTATAAATTGTATTTAAAATAAACAATATAATTAAAAGCGCTCTTCAATTTACCCCCGTGGGACCCCCAGCGAACGACTGGATCTCCCGTTTCCGTCCGTCTGTCTGCCGGACAGATAATTTCCGAAAGTACTGGGCCGATTGTTCTGAAATTTTGTACTTATATTAGAAATAACATGTAGATGGTAAAACACTGAGCAAAATTTGTGTAAACCCCACCAGTGACGTCACTTCAAAATTTTTATTATTATTTTATGCATATTTACTTTGACTTGTACATAGTAAATGGACTTTAAATTGTATAAAATAACATAGTCCTACACATGCAGTTTATAATGCCTTGTTGAGTTTTTTTACACCAAAACGTGCAGATTTTTTTGGAAAAAATCAAAATTATAAAAACATTTTGCAATTTAATTTTGAATCTGCAAAACCGAAGGCTTTGAAATCTTGCAGATATTTTAAAGATATGATAAGCATAATAAATTTTTAATTAAAATATATTTGTTAATTCCCTCCAAAAAATTGATGACGTCGGCTCAAAATTTTACCGGATAAATACTATCTAAAATATGCAAAATATGATGAGTCTATACTTGTGATTTATCACTGCGTTCATATTTTTTAGATTTGCTTAAACAGGGTGACTCAGAATAATTAACGACTGACTTATTAAAAAACAAACATCCAATCTGATTTAGGAATGTAACTCGTTTTCGGAATTTGCAATTTAACACCTTTTAAATTTAACAAGTTTAAGGGGACTCGTTAGACGAGGTATAATATTTTTTTGGTTTTTTGTATGAAAAAAAGATATTAATAGAGATGTATCATACATCAAACTGCAGCTTTTTTCATATTCTAGAGCGCAGAGACCAGTTCAATCAATTAAAAAAATATGGCTGAGAAATATCGTAAAAAAAGCACCATTGTATGTTTTCTTTTCAAGTTTTTTGAGTCATAACCATCATAGAATCGCTTGAAAATTCGCACATGGATAAAACATCACTTTTTACAGGCCGCAGAGTCATTAAATGTTTGTTAGTGGTACAATTTGTTTAAATAATAATGTGTTTATTAAAATCAAAATATACCACAAATTAATGCAAAATACGTCGAATAATTTTAACAGGAATATCAGAGAAATATTAATGATCTATTGCTTAGCAGAGTTTTTAACAAAAATTAACAATTATTGAAAAAATTGGGTATCAATTCGACAGAATTTGAGCCGTTAGTTCAGTATTTTGCCGATAGGAGCGCCACTAAAATTTACGGAAGTGCCTTTCCAGGTAAAACCCTTGTCGCCTTTTCTACTATAAGCTGATTGTTATAGTTCTCGGCTGATTTTTCTAATTTATGGCAAGGAACTCAGTTTTATAACGAGCCGTCAGGACCGGCCGTAGTAATCTATTGTTAAGGAGATTAACTTTTTACGCAATGAGGTACTATCCTAAAACCGAATTAAAACTGGGGAACTATAATATTTTTACTCCACTCAGGATCCTGAATTCAATACACATAATTATTAAAAATTCATTGTAATATTATTGTTAATATATATTTTGCTTTGTTAATTAATAAAACTAATAAACATATTTATAATAATAATAAAAAATATATAAAATACAGCTTTTGTTTAACACGTATAAGTAGCTAAGTGTATCTACTACTGATCCCAGAAAGGAGGTGTTTTAAAAAAGCCCTCCGCCCAGTAACTTTTCCCTTCGTTGTTTACTCGAAAAAAGTGCTCGTATATGTTTTCATTTGCCGAGAGATCATTTAAAAATCTATTTATAATAAAAATATGCAAGTCTTGGTGATGAAAAATGTACTCCTAATAAATTATTATTAAAGTACATAAAAAATAGAAACAAATTTTATTTATTTTAAAAAAATCTCTCGCAAAGGCAGGTTCCTCTTTCTTCTTAAATCAATTATTTCGGGCAATAATGCGCCAAAGTAAAATCTGCCAAGTTTATCTGCCATCTTTTTACATATTTCTTGTTTTTTTTCTATATTAATTCCTTTGGGTGTCCACACAACAAAATAAACTTGTGAAATACCCGTAACAAGCATTTGTCCCTGGACTTGAAAGTAGTACTCATGATTTTTTTTAGTTTCAATTCTCTGTCTGTCAATGTACAAAATTTGATTATTTTTTTTCTAACCGCTTCTTCGGGAGACAAATCTTGCGATTTTGAAGGGCATTTAATTTCGACTAATGCACTCCTATCCTCTAGAACCCTGTCTGGACTACCAGCCAAGTAAGGAAATTGTTTTGAAATAAAGAAGCCTCACCGTTCAGTTTTTATATTTTTATTTATTTCAAAACACTTGACAGCTTTTACCTCACTTTGTTGTCCATAGTATGTATGTATGATTATTACCTCTAAATGTACTGTACAACAGAGACTCCACAGTGTTAGCTGTTGCTGTAGTTGATCTAAGTTTGTAACTACGTCCAAAATTTGAAGCCGTAACCCTAATTTCTCTTCCTTTTGCCCAAATGTGCCTGTTACCTAGTGTCCACTTCAATATGGTCTAAATTCAAAGATAATTTTCTCAAAAAAACCTCTTTGGCTGTCACAAATGTTTCTACATCCATGTCAGGACTATCTAAAAAATATTTAAACCATAATCGCAGTCGGGACCAGCATACCTACATTTTTTTACGACATATTTTTTTACGAATACTTTGTCTAAGACGAGCTTGCTTCATAGACGAACAATATTTTTTTGTTATTAAACCAGGACCGTTTTAATCACAATATATTTACTTATCCCCTCTAAAAAATTAATGACGTTACCTCAAAATTTTGCTGAATAAATCCTATTTAAAATGTACAAAATATAATGAGTCTCTTCTTGTAATTTATCATCCCATTCATATTTTTTGGATTCGGATATACAGGGTGACTCAAAAAATTTAATGAATGCGCAAATTTATTTTATTGATTTAATCAGGAACTACAAAACCGAATGCTTTGAAATCTAATGTGAAAAAAAAACATAATAGGCATGCAGTCGTCACGTTTCCGATAGCGAGGGAAGTACTGTCTAAACTCTTTAGACCAATTCTTTTTATTTTCCCATTTCTCAATTTTTCAATGTTTCAGTTTGGGATTTTTTCACTGTTTCGATTCTTTAATTTTCCTTCCATTTTTAGGTTTTTTAATATTTCAGCTTTGGAATTTTGCAATATTTCGTTTCTTCAATTTTTCAAATTTTTGATATTGTGTTTTTCCGGTTTTTAAATTTTTCGATATTTTAATTTTTCACTTTTTAAAGTTTTAGGTTTTTAGATTTCTCACTATCTCGAGTTTTCGATTTTTCAGTTCCATGATTTTTCAATTTGTCGAATTTTTAAATTTTAGATTTTTGTTTTCTTTGATATTTTGAGTTCTCGATCATTCGATTTTCTGAGTTTCAGGCTTAGATTTTTTTTGTTGTTCAATTCTTGGATTTTTAAAATTTTTGTTTTTTAAACTTTCCTATTTATCAACTTACTGGGATTTCAATGTTTTGATTTTTTGATTGTTCAATTTCTCGATTTTTTTAATGTTTAGTTTTTGATACGATTTTTTTTTCAAAAATTTTCAGCTTTTCAATTTATTAACTTTATGATACTTCAGTTTTGCTCGATTTCGATTTCTCAATTTTTCGACATATTACTGTTGGGATTTTTCAATTTATCGATTCTTCGATTTCTCGATTCTTCATATTTTCGGTTTCTCGAATTTATACATTTTTCGATTTCTCAATTTTCCGATGTTTCAGTTTTACGATTTTTAAATTTTTTTATTTTTCAGTTTTCAATTTTTGACGTTTCTAAATTCTTCGATTTCTCAATTTTTCGATTAACTGATTTTTTGATTTTCCCATTTCTCTATTTCTCGATTTTTCAATTCTTTCTTCAATTGTGATTTTTCAATTTTTCGATTTCTGAATTTTTCAATGTTTCAGTTTTGGATTTTTTCACTTTTCCGATTCTTTAATTTTCTTTCCATTTTTCAGTTTTTCAAGATTCCAGTTTTGAATTTTTTCACTTTTTCGATTTTTCAATTTTCCTTCCATTTTTCAGTTTTTCAGTATTTATTTCAGTTCTGGAATTTGGCAATGTTTCGGTTCTTCAATTTTTCCACTTTTTGATGTTTCGATTTCTCGGTTTTTCAATTTTTCGATAGGTATTTTAATTTTTCAATTTTTAAGTTCTAGATTTTCCGTTGATTTTTTTGTTTTCTTTGATGTTTTGATTTCTCGATTATTCGATTTTTCAAGTTCTCGGTTTAGATTTTTTGGTTTTCCAATTTGTGAATTCTACTGTGAATACTGTGG